GGGCGGGGACGATTGGGGGCGGGGTTCAGGCTAGGCTAATCGCTCCGGTCCGCGCCAGTCGGTTGCCAAGATCCAGCCCGTCTGACCTTTTCGTCAATACAGTAGCCAATATCCTCCCCTCATTCACTCACTTTTACACTGTCTACTCCTCTCTGTTAAGCTTACTTTCATTTGATCCTTAAATCTTATCACTGTATGGCAAGTTTTTTTCTCAAACGTTCTCTTTATGTTGCTTGTGATTATGGCTTTTCACATGTATTAGCGAGTTCTTTGATCGAATCCCGGTCTTCCAGCACGCAATCTTCCTCTTTTCTCGGGCTTATGTGACTTCTTTATCTCTTGATCGCACGCCGACAAGCGTTTGCTGCTTGCCCTTGTGTATGTGGCATTTTCGGGAGATGTCCCGACCATTGCAATCATTATCACATTTACACCTTCTGAACTTTCTTCTACTAGATTTTGCACTTATTTCCTGCCAAAGTTGCCTTTTTTGAACTTTTTCGATGCTAAATTCGAGAGATCGCCGTTACAGATGTTCCCCGTACGGGTGGCGGTGGAAACAGTTCGGGCGCAGCATTGTCTTTCATGCGCTCACGATGGTCATATACTGGTTGACACCTACGCTATTGTATCTGGCACTACAGTATTGAGTCAATTAGTGGAAACTGTATTATCAGCATTGGGACATCCACAACTAGCTCTTAATGCTCGAGGTAAATTCAATTGATTTTCTATCCCTTCCTTTTTATTTGGCATTTATTGATGTTTAATACTTGTGCCTTCCTATGTAAATTTAGAAAAGATAACTTTCTGGCTTTTGCTGTAAGAAACTTTCGGAAATCCTACCTCTCACTCAATTTGCTCACTTCCTCAAATTTCTCAAGTTTGCCGAATTTCTCCGATTCCGTTAGTCGCGCGCGCGTCTTTCGCGCATCGTCATGTGGTGTGTGTGTTATTGTTCGTGTCAGTGTATCTCCGTCGCCTATTTTTGACACTCGTCCAGATGGCACTCGCCGAAATCCTCAGTTCTCTCCTATGTCCTCACCCCCCGTTCCTTGTCTACCCAAGTCAGCACGTGTGGGAATGTGTGTCGACATGATTACTGCCACGAAACACACTCGCTCAAGGGACGCCACAAATGAAACGCGAATCGATGCCTGGCGAACTTTCTGGAAGTGTTTTGAAGCCTGCGGGTCACGACCATCTCAGCATCTCGCACTCATTGTTCGGTATCCCTGTGCTGTATCGTTAATTCGGCATGTGAGCGTGCATGCGCGAGTTTTCGCCTCGCTGCCATCGACTCCTTCGGGGCTGAGAACCTGTTATGGCTTGAGCCTTTCCCTTTCAGTTGCGCAATCGTTGTAAAATCTAGCGAGATGCGATCGCGCATGCCGTTTTCTTTGGCCCCCGTGTTACATACTCGAACCTGTTACCGAGATTATTCGCTTAACGACAAG